CAAATGGGTCACTTCACGCGACTTTGATGCAGCATATCCCGGTAGTCCAGCTTTAAGGGGTGTTATTTCATCTGGTGCAGAAAAAAGCTTGGCNCACGGTGCCCTTGTCGTTAGAGCGCCTCCCATGCACCAGACATTGTAGTCCCATCCGCCATCGATGGCTCCGGTCGATACACAACACGCTGGTCCGCATCTGCTGCCAGATCTGCCCAGGAGCGTCCATTGAAACTGTCGTGTTGCATGCCTTATTATTCCTGGTGCGCGAGCCTCGGGAAGATGATTCGCACTGACTGCGCGGACGGGAATATGCATACCCCAAGCTCAGGTCCCATCTACCTCGCGATCCCTTGCAAGTCGACTTGGCGGTGTGGTTTATGTGCCGCGCACCCCGCGCATCAAAATGAACATTCGATACGTGGAATATGCTACATATCCTAAGCATGGTAGCGAGCACGCACGGCGGTGTGGCGTAACTCGGCGCCACACTTGGAGCCACCCTAGCCGGCCATACAAAGTGTGAGTGTGATGCAGTTCAAGTCACTCAAGCTCACATGATAGCGGAAGATGGTGGTGCATGATTGCCACACATGTCGTAGTGATATACACATGGCAGCAACGTCCCAACGGACAATCGGTAGACAAGCGAGCGTCAATGAAGGAGGATATGGTGGCTCCGTAGGAACATAGAAGTTTGCAAAAAGCATTAGTATATCTCAGCTGTCCTTGTGGTCTAGGTTGTTTCGCCCCCTCACCCGGGACATGCAAAGCATCGAACAGAGCGTGTCCAAACCCCAAAGCAGTGCTGGACTGACCGACATTTCGAGAGGCGGAGGGAATGTACGACGGGGAATTGAGCTTCTACCATGCCCGGGGCCAGCTCGAAGGGATCACAAAGCAAGTGTCTAAGGCTTATACATGAAGATGTAGATACTTGGATGATTATCAGGACGATGAATAAGGTCACAGAGATTACTGACGATGATACTCAAACCTCATATTTTGACAGACAGACGTATGACAGGTGGAAGCATTAGCTGCCGTGTATACATACCATAGACATCTTCGTTGTGTCATGTTTCCATAGTCGATAATCACATATTTATTGGTCCAACACAAGTGTATATCAGAACGGATGCAGGGCACGCAGATGGTCACCGCACTATTTACAGACCCTCAGATGCTTTTGCATAGACAGATAAAATATTATACAATCAGCCCAGCCGGAACATGTACAAACCAGCAAGTGTATTACATGGCGACGAGCGACATCAGTCAGAGAAAATAATGCGACAAATGTAAAGGAAGCAGTAACGCGGAGTGGAATTGGTGGACAAACAAAATCGACACATACAGAGACACCGACAGCTCACAGCTCGTCCTCAGATTGGACCACAGCATCGTAAGCCGTGGCCAGCGGGACCATCTTCGCAAGCAGGTCCACCTGCTTGACTGGCCTGCCCTTGTTCAGCTTGAAGAACGCCCTCCCTTGGTTTTCCAGCGCAGAGATGGCGAGTACCACCCAGTTCTGGCAGTTCCAGTTATGATTGCCGTTGACAATGGGTACCGTGCTCAGCAACTGGTCCGCCGCGTCCAGAGCCGTCGCATTGATGTGGCCGACGAGCACACATCCCTTGAACGATGACGGGGAGCCGTACTTCACGTTTTGCTTCCGCTCGTAGGTGAAGATAGCCTGAGTCGCGCCCTTGATGTGAAAGGCCTCCCCGACAGCCTGGCCGGTACCTTTGACCCAAGGATTTGTTTTGACGACAATCTCCCAGTGCCAGGGAGTGTTTTGCGTGTTACTATATTGAGCAACGTACACCGGGAGCTCGATTTGCTGGGACATCTTGTTTTGCTCAGAATCTGGACACGGATGTGGCTGGACGCAAGCGGGGTCAGGACGAGGATCGTGGCATCGACGGCTGAGTGCTCACCTTTGGGGGGTGCAGTGGCTGGAAGGTTGAGAGCGGCGGATGCTCTCTGTCCCATCCTCAGAGCTGTATTTATATGTGGGGAGCTTTTTACCTTGTCTCTACACAGACGCTCCTCTCCAGAGAGCGAAACCAATGGGAAAGACCAGTGTCACGAGCAGACTCTGCGAAGTTGATGCCAATCCACGAAGCTGTCCAATCCGGCAATATAAGCGCATTCAATGCTTTCATGGTGTCCTACCTGCGCGCGCTCGGCCAATGAAATGTCTTCTATCGTGTGGGGCCATTTTGCCCCATTGTCCTGTGAGAATACACAGCTGTTCAATAGCAATCCTCCCACAGCTGGATCAACAACAACGCACAGAGACTCATCAGAAAAAGGCATCAATGATCGAGTTACGCAAAGACGTGTCCACCGTGCACCATATGACCTTGTTCAGTGGACTGCACGAACGGCCCAATCAGCTCAAGCGCCTGCCGCGCGGCGGACCGCCTTCGCAAGCTGAGTGAGACAACGCTCACCTGGTCAGCAACCTTGGCAGCTTTGCTATGATGACCGCAGTATGTGCTCTGGTCATGACTCGTCGTCACACCTCCCTCGTTATTCAATGAGAACCTGGAGGACGTGTCAGTATCGCTCGTCACTGGGTCCATCAATCGAAACCCATCAGAACTGGTAAGACTCGTGCCAGCCTATCCGTGACCGATAAGCAGGAATCACCGTCGGCGTTGACATTGCAGTATCATACGCCAGCCACAGCCATGGAGGGTATCCGAACCAACGACTTCTTATTTTCACGCTCGCTCCGCCCCACGTTAGCTCAAAGTCAACACAGAATACGTGGGTCCGCCACGGGTTCACCGTGAAGAAGCGGCAGCGACGTCCCATACCTAAGCACACAAATTCCTGCCACATCCCCCAAAGAGTGAGTGACCTGACGAGAAGGAGCTAAAGCGCAACGCACTGTACCCGGCTCCGCGCTACAGGCCACAACATCTACAATGACACCGGGTGTACCGGTCCGATCGCACCATTACGGCCCCCACATCGACATGACAAGCTACAGCCTAAGGATTCGCAGCACCAGAATTCGCTTATATGCACCGACGCCATCGAACAGCCACACAACGGATACATGAACGCAGAGGCGAAAAAATGCCTCTGGAAATGGGGTCTTGAACTGAGACGCAAGCGTGCACGTCGCCGCAGGGTCCATCAAATTCCCTGAGGAATGGACGCCAGTATGACTGGACCGGACAGCACTTCATACCCCGAGCCGGCGTACACAAACACCCACCACAACTCGACACAGACGACCACGGCAGCTAGCGCGCGCGTCAACCATGCCGGGTGTTACAGCGTAGCATACCTGTTACGTGAACACTCGCAATGAACCCGCCCATCGGCTCCGACGTCAAGCGATGAGCAATGATACTTAACAAAGCCAGTCTGTGCTGCGGCAGGCGGGCGGCAAGAGAAGCTGCAGGAACATACCGTGAGGATGTATACGGCATGTCTAATGTTTGTATCCGTTTTGTAGCGGAAACGTTTGATATCCTATCCGACGATCAACATCTTACTCATGTGGATGCATGGCACACAACGTACTGCTCGCGGCTCGCCTTCACAGCAACGGCAGGTCACCGCTGGCGCGGGATACGGGATCTATCATCACAAGTTGAGACGTTGAAAAAGGCTTATCAAAACACCTTGTTGCGAGATATCTGTAATGTATCATTTGGCCAAAGGGACGAAGCATACAAACGACGCCAACACGGGTGTGGATTTGCGGTAGTCGATAGAGCGCTCGTCCAGCCATGGCAGGCGCCTCTTCGGAAGAAGCCATCTTGCTGCATTCTTTGGCGCTGGCCAGCTCTTGAACCACCCCATCTGTCTACAAGTTGTCTGAATCAATCCAATATGCTCGTTCCCACCGCTCAATGTCAACTCTGCTCTTTTCCAACCTGCACAAGTCAGCGCAATGTGTAGTGAGTATGTACGCGTTCCATGTATGTATTGTGTACTAGTCCATGCCAGCACTTGAGCTCAGTATGCATGATCCCTGGCTTTATTGTGATGGAACGGGTCCTTCAAATCCTCAAGCAACTACGCATACAACGGGCGCTACCGCGCGTTCGAGGTTCCTCCGTTTTTGCACATCACTCTTAAGCAATTCAAAGGATCTTTGACACCTTGGAGACCAGAGGCGCCATAACGGCACGCGAAGAGACGCAGGAACATACTCCAAGTCAACGATGCCATGCGAACGGCGTGGGTCAGCACATCTTTCCCGCATCTTCGTACTGGCCCGTCACTACAGGACGAGTGTCCCCGGGACCGTGCTCAACATTCGAACACCTCGACGCATCACAAACTGCTAATTACTTCCTAGATGCCAAAGCGCTTCATGTCTTCCAACCCAATAATCCAGATACATTACTTCTCCGCTGCTTCTCAGCATCGGGGCATTGTCGCATGTCCTATCTCGCCCCGCGGTTTATCGGACGTTTCCTTGACAATAACCTCCATGACCAACACCCTGGCGTGATTGTCTCCGACGGTACTCCTCCAACACGGACTGTTTATTCGCCGTCGACATAGTCCTCAACTAGTGGTCTTGAGAATCTCCACATTCCTAGTCTTGTCAGCGACATCTGACATGCTCGTGAATCCAGACTCTGATGCCTCGACCCCACAAGGTAACTTTCGGCGGGTACATAAATGGCCCGAGTATAGAATCCATCAAGTCTGGTGATGGCGGACGCATCTGCCAATCACAAGGTATGCAATATTATCGATATTGCCGTTCTTCCCCCTCTGCCTCCTCTGGCCTCTGGGGATTATGCACATATCGTGGAGGTTCTGTCGCTTCTCAGATATGTGCAGCTGACCATATTGTGGCATGGCGAGAATCTGGATGAGGGGACTGGATGCCGCATTCTCGTCGCACGCGCTTCAGAGCATAGCCGACATCGTATGTACACAACGCTCATCAGGATCTCCTGTATTCTATCGAGTTCGCGAGGGAGATGAAACGTCATGCGTTGCGATCGTATTTAAGCCCGCACGCCGTAATCACACTATTGCACATTTTGACCCCTACTACAACGACTCTGTCTCTGTCGTTGTACCTTTCTCCTGCAATTGTTGTACGATACCTGTTGAATTGCGACGGTTGTCGTGGGCGTGGGTCATGAGTGGTAGAATCACTTACAGCTTCAAGATTGCCCATCCGGATGGTCAAGCGATGATGGATGGAAGGAAGGTAGGTATATACCGGCATGGGTCCGAATCAGGAATGCCGGCTTTCCGTACCTAGATACACTGGAGGCAGTTCAAAATTTCCGCTCTGCGAATATTGTCCAGAAATTCAACGAGGTATAGGAAATGAACATTGAATACTTGGCTTCCGAACATCGAAAGAAAGCCATAAATAAATGCTGCATATTCCGAGCTTCGGATATGGCAGCAAATACATTACATAATTGTCGCTCGAATATAGACTACGATATCCGTTGAAGTTCTGCACCAAAACATTGTACCGATAAATATAATAACTGAGGAATATCTGCGGACCAAATACATTGTGGGTTATTACTCATACTCAGAGCACGGATGTCCTTCAAATATTGGCTAAAATAGATCAATCGCTCAGTATATGTCATTTCTGGTCGTCGGATCGGCACGGAATATGGTTTCTACGTCTTACACCATCCGAAGCTTCAATTGTTGATTACATATCTGAGGAAAATTCGTGCTATAGGTACTGACAATTTTCCGCAATGTAATCGGTCCACAAATATTCCCGGTTATCAGATTTATTAGTACAATGTTTTGGTGCAGAATATTCAACGAATATCGAAGGTCATATTCGAGCAACGATTATGTAATATATTTGCTGCCATATGCGGGGCTCGGAATATGCAGTATTTATTTATGGCTTTCTTCTGAGTATTCAATGTTTATTTCCTACACCTCGTTGAATTTCTGGACAACATTCGCAGAGCGGAACTTTTGAATTGGCCCCAGTGATACATGGGTCCCTAATCTAAAGAGAATCTCCGCCGAGCCGTCTCGGCGGATGCCGATGATATCCATCTGCGATTGCAATATTATACACGTAACTTGGATCCTTGACTTTATCCTCGACGGATGTCAATTCTCCTCGGTACTACATCATATTGCTCGCTCCGGTTTTCTTTGAGTAAAAGAACAACCCAGCGGCTCCCTGTCAACGGGTTCTTGTCTATCCTCAGACTGTATGTATGAGAATCACCGCGCCGTCGCGCGGAGTACATCTGCATTCCATCCAACCATTGTGCTATCCCACATACCAGTACTGGAAGCTGGCCGTCGTCGATTACGTCGAGCTTTCGGACAATGCGTAAGCACGCAGCTCATTGACATCGTGTGACGACTGAATGAGAATAGATATATCACAACGTAGGCAGCGAAGACACAAACTAGAGACCTGGATACACAGCAAACGAGCAGCAAGATCAACATAATCATGCATAACCATATGAAAGTCCTCGGAAAAGCGGAGGCGATAGCGGAGATAGCAGAGACGTCAGAGGAGCAAAAGGAATGGGTGCGAAGAAGTTTAATCTTCGTCGGGTGATGCATGTGAGCCTTCACTCGCACCAGTCACCGTGTTGGCCGTCCTTCGCAGGGCCAGTGCGACTGCGTCCTTGTATGACATATCGTGTAGGCTCTGGCAATGCCTCGCGCGCGAGTCGATGCGCGAGTACATCTTGAGGCAGAGAGGACACTGCCATTCCTTCTGCTGGCCGTTGGCGCAACCGGTTCTCATGTGACGTCGACGATCGCTGTTGCGACTGAACCATGCGTCGCAAAGTTTGCATCCGTAGTTGTAGGCGGCGGGCTCCTTGGGCTTGTATCGCCTATTGACGCACAGGCGGATAGCATCCCTGTGAGTACTGGAGTTGGGCTTCCTGGAACGAGGAGTGTGCGGCGCTCGGGTATCGACGTCGTCGTCGCCGTTGCCGTAGTTGATGTAATGATTGTTTCTTGTTCGTTGCCCTGCATATTGCAGGCCAGGTGCAGGATCATTCGTTACGCTATGCAGCGCAACGAGCGATGGGCTTGTAGTGGAGTACTTGTAAAACCAGCTTGCGTGGTAGGCTTGGTACGGATTGACTGCGGCCGCCCAAGGGCCGACAGCCGAGGACAGCGCACTGTGTGGGGAATATCCAGAGGAGACCGCGGATGATGGCTCCGCGTGTGGCAGCAGATGTTGCAAGGATTTCCCGTGTTTATGTGCAGATGTGTACACTTGACCACTGCAGGGCTGGGGGAAGAGGAGCGTGTCCATAGGGTTGATCCCTATGGTGGCATTCTTTGGGGAGAGATTCGAGCTGGGAGGCTGACAGGACATCAAATGCTGTGTTCGGACGAAGGAAAAAACGACGACATACCTCTGGCGATCCACGGGGAGACAGATCCCAATCAAAACCTGTGAAGAGACCTTCAAGGTCTTCGTCGGCTTTGGGTGCGTCTGACCCATCGTGCGGCGCTTGGAGGTGCGCGTGACTTGCTGCGAGAAATGGCTCCTCAGTGCTCGTGTTCGCGGTCCCTTGGATCCAATCGCGCAACCATGCGAACGCGTCGGAGGACATGGTAGGGTGGGTGTGCTCGCCGCGTTGATAAGAAATAATGCAACTGCACAGGTCAGCGCCTAGTACCGAGGTCACGAAGTGGAAGACTCAACCACGTTCGGGATTGGAACGAGTCGAGGGCGATCTGAGGCAAGAGAGACGCCGCTTATATGTGAGCTCTGCGATAGTTATCTGCGCAGAGTACGCTGGCTCATGAACCGCGTGTGCCCCTATGATTTTTGCGAAGGCGCACCTTTAGGCATTCATAACAATACGGGCCGTCATCCATGCTTAGAAGAAGAAGAAAGAAGCATACGGAATGAATTGCGAGCGAGTGACAGCGGCAACTGTCTCCAAATTGAGGTGACGGCGGGCGCTGCACGTCTTTGTTCTCCGTGGACGGTGATCGATTCTCACGCCGCAGCACCGTGCCATTCATTCTGGTATTCCGAGAATGTAAATTTCGACAAGATTCTGCTTAAAGGTAAGTCTACATGCCCGGACCTCTCTTGCGGATTGCAGCGCACGACTACGTCCTCATTCATTCGGAACGCCTCTTACGCGATTGGTCGCCTTTCGGATCCAAGGTTCGTGCCCGATCTCTGAGCCACTGCTTGAACCACTCGCCCGAGGTGACAAATCCAACACTGTAGATACATGACGTCGCTGATGCACGCAATAGATTGTTATTATCCCAAGTCCAGGACTTGTATGCACCGTCCAAAGGGATACCGGTTGGACGATGGCTCCGAGTTCGGACATCACCGCGGCGGAGAACTCCGAAGGATTGTGAGAGCATGAATGTCTTCCTGCGAGGTCAGCGTGGGTGACAATTGCTGAAGGTGCGTCATCTGCTCTGTTGTGGCTCTGATAGTGCGAAGCAAGGTGCCTGTCCGGCATTTCGGTGCCCGTCTTGCACGCCATGTTGTTATCTACCATCTCCTTACGCGCCCGGCGTCTTCTACACTCCAACTCTCCATCGATTCACCATAGGATCCATGATCATGTCTGTTTCGAAAGATCTCATCGGTGACATGCGCCACATACTGTCTATCGGCCGACTGGACATGTGTGCAAACCTATTGACATACCCTTCCCAGTTTGCGTTGTAGGACGTGTGTATAAAAACAATGGTTCGAACCACCGACAACGCGACTGTAATCCGGGAAGCTTCTGACATTCTCTCTGACGTAGGTATGGATATGAACATAGTGCGATAGCCACGTATCCTAGCTTTCTATTGATCAGAGAAGCAGTACATGTCCTCCTGACAGCCACCTGCTATGCTGCATCGCAGTGTAGGATTGGCCTCCCTGCCGATAGCAAGGCTCAAAATTAGGTTCAGCACCTCTGCGACATTCAATTGCTGTATTTTATGTGCTTTTCGCTGAGCAGCTTTAACAGGATGCTACGCCAAACGCGGAGCCCTGATCTGCCGCTTTCCGGCTGAACATCTCATGGCATGACGTAGACCTGCTTGAGGAGACTTGTTACCGCGATATCGTCACGCGGGCTCCGGAACATCGCCGACGTCGTACGTAGGCAGCTCTCGTCAGGATCTCCAGTGCGCTGTCGAGGTCGGGAGATGGCATCTCATACATTACGATCATATATACACCCGCACTTCGTAGTCACGCTCTTGCGCGTTTGAACCCTTACTACGGTCTACCACGACCCCGATTCCAATCATGAATAGTAGAGTCGGTCAGTCGGTCAGTTGCTTCCAGCTGCATGATTGCCTATCCTGAGGGTATAGCGATGACGGGTTTCGGCCGATGCCGACGAGATTTGAGATTGCAAGATTGTGTAATGGATCCCTGGCTTCACCCACGACAGATGTCTATGCTACACATCCAGCTTGACCTACATCCCGCCATCCGCTCAGGGGTCATCGAATAAGAGAGAAACGTAGCGTCTCACTGTCCACCGGTTCTTGTCTTTCTTCAGAGGATACGTACGGGAAAATCACCACGTCGTTTTGCGAACTACACCCATATCACTCACCGTTCGTGCTATCCCATATGCTGGTGTTAGAAGCTATCCATCGCCGACTAAGTCGAGCTATCGGACAACACGTAAGCACACAGTTCATTCACTGGCATCGTGTGACGATTGAAAGAGTATATATATATCACAACATAGACAACGAAGACACAACCCAGAGACATTAATACACAGCAAACGAGCAGCGAGATCAACATAATCATGCATAAACATATCGAAGCCCTCGGAAAAGCAGATACGATAGCGGAAATAGCAAAGACGTCAAAAGAAGGAAGAAGTATAATATTGGTCGGATGATGCATGTGAGCCTTCACTCGCACCAGTCACTATATTGGTCGTCCTTTGCAGGGCCAGTGCAACTGCTTCCTTGTAAGACATACCGTGCAGATCGCGGCAATGCCTCCCGCGTGCGTCGTCGCGCGAGTACACCTTGAAACAGAGAGGACATTCCCATTCCTTCTGCTCGCCATTGGCGCAACCGTTTCTTATATGACGTCGACGATCGCTGCTGCGACTGAACCATGCGTCGCAATGCTCGCATTTGTAGTTGTATGCAGCGGGCTCCTGGGGCTTGGATCTCCTGTTGACGTACAGGCGGATGACATCCCTGCGAGTACCAGACCGGGGCCTCCTAGAACGAGGAGCGCGCGGCGCTGGGGTGTCGACGACGTTGTCGTTGGCGTTGTCGATGTAATTGGTGTTTTCCCTTACCTGCCCTGCGTATCGCAGGCCAGGGATGGGATCGCTGGTTACACTGTGCAGTGCAACGTGCGATGGTTGTGCTATGTAGCACTGATAGAGCCAGTTTGTGTAACAGGCTTGCAATGAATCTACTGGGGCTTCCCACGGTCCTTCGGCTGGCAACAGCGCGCCGCAAGGCGCATAGTTGAAGGGAACAGCGGATGGATAATCCGCCTGTAGTGGATGCTCCACAACTTGCCCGTGTCTTTGCGCGGGTGTGCACCCTCGGCCACTCGAAGTCTCCGGCTGGAGGACTGTGTCCACAGGACTGATCCCTATGGCGGCATTCCCCGGGGTGAGTTCCTTAGAGCTGGAGGGCTGAAAGGACGTTAGATGATGTGTGTAGACGCAGGAAAAAACGACTGAATACCTCCGGGAATACATGGGATGACAAATCCCAGTTGAAATCTGCAAACAGACCCTCTAGGTCTTCGTCGCCCTCGGGTGCATCTGACGCGTGTGGCTCTTGGTGGGGCGCAGGACTTGCTGTGAGAAATGCTTCTTCCTCCGTGCTCGTGTTGGTGGTCCCTTGGAGCCAAGCACGCAAATCCGCGAATGCGTCGGAAGACATGGTAAAGTCGATGTGGTTGTACTGAGAATAGAGAATAATGTGGCCGCACAGGTCAGCGCCTAGTATAGAGGTCGCGAGGGTTGAAATGTGTCGATGATGGTCTGAGAGGTAAGAGAGACACCGCTTATATGTGAGCTCTGCGATAATGCTCTACGCAATGAAAGCTGGCTCACGAACGGCGCATGCCCCTAAGATCCTTGCGAAGGTGCGCCTTTGGGCATTCAGAACAATGCAGGCCCTCATCCGCGCATTGGAAGAAGAAGAGATAAGCATACATAATGAATTGCGAGCGAGTGACAGCGGCAACCGTTTCCAAATTGAGATGAAGGCTGGCGCTGCGCGTCTTTGTTCTCAGTGGACGGTGACCGGTTCTCACGCTGCTGCAACGTGCCACTCATCCTCGTATGTGAAGCTCTGGCGGGATTCTGTATGAAGGTAATTCCACATGTCCGGATCTCCCTTGTGGATTGAAGAGTACAACCACGTCCTCATTCTTTCGGAACAGCCTCTCATGCGATTGGCCGCCTTTCGGATTAAGGTCCGTGCCCGATCGTTGAGTCACCGGTTGAACCACCCGCCCGAGGTGATAAACCCCAAATAAACCCTGGATACACGATGTCGCTGACGCACGCAATAGATTATTACTACCCCAAGTCCAGGACTTGTCTGGACCGGCCAGAAGAAGACCGTTTGGACGATGGCTCCGAGTTCAGACATCACCCAAGCCGCCTCGGCGGGGATTTCTGCAGGGCTGTAAGGTGAAAGGCATAAGTGTCTTCCTGCGAGGTCAGCGTGGGCTTCAGTCACTGAAGGTGTGTCATATGTTCTATTGTGGCTCTGGTAGTCCGGAGCAAGGTGCCTACCCGGCATTTCTGTGATCGTCCTGCACGCCACGTTGTTAGCCACCGTTTTTTTTCACGCGTCAGGCGTTTGCCACACTTCTGTCCTCCATTGATTCATTATGAGATCCATGGTCATGTCAGTTTCGAACAATTTCACCACTGACACGGGCCACATGCTGTCCATCGGCCAAATGGACATGTGTGCAAACCTATTGACATACCCCTCCCGGTCTGCGTCGTAGGACGTGCGTACAAGAATGATGGTCTGAACCACCGACAACGTGGCTGTTATTCGGGAAGCCTCTGACATGCCGTCTGACGTAGGGATGGATATGGATATGCAACAGCCACAAATCTATATTCTTTGTCGGTCAGGGATACGGACCATGTCCTCCCATCAGCTACCTGTTGTGCTCAATCCCGGTGCGGAATTGGCTTTCTTTGTCGATGGTGAAGCTCAAACCTAAGTTTGACACCTCTGCGATTTCGAATGGCCGTATGTCATGTACTTTTGCTAAGCAGCTTTCGCAGAATGCTACGCCAAATGCGTGTGGTTTTAGTGGCCTGGTCGAACACTCAAGGCGATGCTCATGCCTCTAATTGTCGTAAACGGGATTGGTGAGGTTCTTACATGTAAACCGAGGCGCCTCATGGAAGTGGGTAACTCATGCTTCAGCGGGTATGTCTTCACGTTGCTGCTGCTTCGTGATTCCAAGTTATTATCCGGTCTGGTTGCGAAGAAGCCCTTTTTCATGCACGTGGCCAAGCAGCTACGGGCTCCTCCAGAGATCTATCCGTCCATATCCCGATACTCCCTTGTCTCTCGAAGGAAACAGTGGACGGGAATATGTGTCCTGACACAGACGTCATACGCGGGCTTATTACGTGGACGCATCCCCACTTTTTCATTTTTGTCTCGAGATACAGAGCCAATGCAGCTGATGTTTTGAGCTCGGTGGAGGTATGCTCTCGAGTGTTTTGTGAAATGTTGCTCTTCGCTGACAAATAGAAACAGGAGTGACAGCGGCAACACTTCTAAATTGGGGTGCAGCCTAGCGCTTTGCGCCTTTGTTCTCGCCACGCCAATAGGTCGACAATGGCCCGTTCTCGCGCTCATGCAACGTGTCATCTATTTTTGTAATCCGACAATGTGAGGTCTTGATGAGCTAGTTGCGTGGACAGAGGAGCGTGACTTGTGCTTGTCATCTAGGGAGATTTTACGCTTCTTGGCAGACCGTATACGCGCGGTAATGCGGCTCTCTTCACGGGACGACGACATTTCAGAGTCAAAACCCGTATTAAATTGTCGAACTGTCGCATGAGACACTCGCCTGCGGAAAACGCAGCACTGTGGGTGCACGCTGTAACTTATGCCTACAACATCCTATAGCGACACAACGACTAGGTATTGTATCGCTCGATCGCATCAGTGTGAATTGGACCGCTGGAGACTTCCGCGCGTTCGACATCTGTCATCACTCAAGCCACGGCAGCGGGGAACTCGAACGGATCGTGAGATGAAGAGGGCGAAGTCAGTATCAAAGGAGGTGTGTCGTCTATTTCGTTATGGCTCTGATTGTCTGCAGAAGTAATTCCCTCGCTACATCTGCAGTATCCGTGCCGAATGTATCACGACCTCTCGAGCATGAGGTCGTGGTATTGCTCCTTTCGCAGCAGCGGCCGCATACCCAAGCAGCACCTCTGTGTTTACCATGCACAAGATGCCAGTGTTCACCGATCATCCACGTGCTAGGCTGCTCCTGCACCGCCGTAGTGCGATCTTCGATGCGTTCCATAACTGGATCCATGTCATCCTTGATTTCGCGCAAATATGGACCTGCACCCCGTACTTTCATCAGCGAACTGGACATGTGTGCAAACCGGTTGACATACCACCATAGGTCTACACCATGAGACTTGCGCATGAGTGCGAACCATTGACAAAGCGATCGAAACAATTGCCTGACGTCCGCGTGCGTGCCGGGTGGGATATAGCACACCATCTGTGCCGCTATCCAGCACTTTGCATGTGGTTGCAATATTCCTCGTGCACTATGGGAGCGCGGAGGTCCAGCCATCTGTGTTCCTTTACTCATTACCCACTCACGACGGGTCGATAATCTAAATCGTACTCATTGTCGTCATCTGCGACTTTGATGTGCCTTTCAATAGACTTGTTATTGATTTAGGGGCACGGACACACTGCCACTATCCGTGTGTACACTGGGACCCACCTTAATGTCAGAGTCTAGCCCGCTGCACTCCTGTTTGACCCCTGTAGTCATCTGGGCGTGCAGCACGCGAATGACAGTCTGTTTCAATCTTTCATTCCCGAGTAGCAGGATCGGTCGACCTGTCAGAAATAGAGACATAATGTATGGAGAGGTCTGCGACGCGAGTTTGTGTCCCCTTCCCCGATCGTTCAACACTGCAATACTGCATATTCCTGGTGCGTCTCAGTCTCGGTGACGTCTTTTTGACCCACTACCTTTCCACAACTATGGAATTGACTAATGCGTTGTCCCAGGGATCTTTCTACCAGCTGGCGCATTTGCTCATTGTGTCGGCTTGAGATGAGATGTCACGATACCATCAGCCCTTGCCAATGTTTGTTGCGCCGTCCTATGCGATCGAGCTGTCTGGTCGTGTGAAAACCATTTATTGTCCGTTAACGACACTGCGGCTTTCTCAAGAAAAGTTTTGGCACTCCAGAATGAGGAACCCTGCCAGACTCCAGTGCGACCTCCAACATCTATCCTCGGGGCAAATAACGCCAAACCCATCAGATCTCCGTAAAGATTAGATTATCTCGTTAGTAGATTACCAACTCCGGCCGGGACTTAAAGCGAGCTCCTCTGTCCATCATGCATCAACACCTGATTGTACGCACAACATCTAGAGGTGGCTACTCGTGTCTTCTGCATCGGACTATATGCCCTGGAATATGATGGAAGCAGGTAGAAGGAATTGCGAATCTTGGTGACAACAACTGTCATGCACCTGCCCATTGAGTCCGTGTCATCCTTCACGCACACGCCGCCCTGTAAGCAACCCTCTTTGATCACCTCTGTGTAACAAAGCGCTAACCTGAATACCCGGCTCTGGCTGCGTCCCGGCACACGTGCGCCTTGCGTCGTGGTTGCCTGGGTTCTCATAAGTCCCAGACTGATTCCTGAATATGGAAGTAGTCAATGTACATTGTAAGTGTTGTAAGTGTCGAGATAATTATTCTTGTAAGCTCAATCTACGGTCTCAAAGATGGTTAGTTAAGCGAGGCGAGGGACTTAGCGCGGGTATCGCTTCGTATCATGATCACTCCACATCACTAGCAGTGGGCACCGCCCGTCGCCGCTCGACTCCACCAATTCAAGGGGTGTCCTGCAGGCGATGCGGAATTTAATCTGTACCTTGTGTTGCAATGAGGGATTGTCTAGGCCCTCTCGTGTGCAAAACACCTTTGCTTGGAGCAAAGCTCCATCCACAGCGTTGCTGCGTATACGACACTGTGCTCCTCGATTCATTGTGCTCCGAGTTCGACCTGGTCCTCCATCATCCTTGCCCAGAGTCCTTCATCTTTGTAACTATCATCGGATACTTCATGCTGCGGTTTCCTCTGCTCGTAATCCTCTTCATAACAGCCGCTCAGGTAGGGCATACCGAAGGATCGGGTAACACTACTTGTGCAGGAAGCGACCTTGATTGGTACACAGATGTTGTCGGGGAAACACCTTGTGTGTTATCACGATCTTACCTGTTGGACTTCTGCTCACCGCGGACATAACAAATAGGCATGACATATCAAAGACTCCGGCAAATATGCAACAGCAACTGTGCGTCTCTTCTCTTCCTGTATATTTTGGGTCACAGGGCTGACAGTCGATGTTTTCAGATGAGGTCCCTTCCTTTCGTCCAAACACACCTGGGGATAATTGTGACGATCAGCTAGGTATGTTGGTGCCTGCTGATGGGTGCCGCTATAACTAACGCGTCCTTAGTGACTTGTTGCTGCAACTCAATCTCGTGGGCGTTGAGTATGCTATGTATGAAGTGAGTCGCCGCAATTCTGCCTCCTGTCCAGCATTTACGTCCACGTACTTTAGCTGTCAACAAGACAGGAATAGCGCTAACGGGATCGACGCCGGCAAGTCTTATTTCTGCATCTATCTTCACCTTCCTTCCTTTCCACAAATACTGACTGATTATAAACGCCTGATCCTTTATTCCCATACATCACGTAGGTGCAGGCGCATATTACATATACCGGCACAGCGACACCAATAGTGCGTATTGCGGCGACGGAACGAATTCGTCGTAAGTGGATTCTGCAGTATATGGCGGGTGGCACTCCTGAAGGTTCGGGTTGGAAAGGCTGCCCGCGGCAATCCAGACGGCGGTATGCGACAAGAACATACGACTCGATGACTTCCTATACGGCCTGTTTTGGAATGATGGCTCATGGTACGCACAGGCTCTGACTTCTCAGCTCTGAATCCGTCTCGACGACTAACGCACCACGTTGTCTCCAGGTACTAGTATGTCTGTCATAGATGCAGGCGAGGCTTGGCGTCTAATGCACAACTCTACAGCACGTACACTCGGGAGACCGCCGAGGAAGACCACGCAGCGCACGCAAACAACACGTTCCAGCATTGTCCTAACAGCGCGATGACTGCCGCATCGCACAGCACCAATCCGTCCAGCTCTCAGACTGCTCACTCGTCAAGCACTGGTGCGGCCGGGAGCGGGCACCATGTGGACACTGGTGCTGTGATTGGCGGCGTTGTTGGGGGTGTGCTAGGCCTGTGTCTGCTCATGCTAGGCGCTGCGTGTGTAATGCGCCGGGCGAGGGGCGGGAAAGCTGCGGTGTACGACGAGCAACCTCTGGACGCGACGGAGGCAACGTCTCTCGGGGCGCACCCGTTTACGCTGCAGCAGACAGGTATGCAGTTGACTTTTGCCGAGTCACCACCTAGCATACGGCTGAGCCTGCACACGCAGATCTCGCCAGCAACTTGCGCACGCCGCCCGCGTACGAGAAGCACGCGCCGCAGCGCTTAGAAGGCTCGGCGTCGGAGCCTCCGACGAGCTCCGGAGCCGGCGAGCAGGTCGGCAGCACACATGCCAGTACAGTACCATATACCGCAAGTGCGCATCACGAGGCGGGTATCACACAGTTGAGTGGCGCGCATGAGCGGGAGGAGGACGCGGGGAGGATCGACGAGTCGGGACTGCGGTTACCGCCGGCCTACAGCAGTGAGTGGGAGACTGAATGAGAGCGTACTCTAGGCATACCACCATGATATCATAGTGTGTCAGAGGTAGTATGTACACAGAATAGCCATATTCATAGATTTGTAATACCGGGCTGGAAGGTGGTAGAGGTTCAGGGTCTCGGCTGCCTGTGTTACTTTGACCAAGGACAGGATACATAGGAAAAGCAGAATACGATTAGACACCTCGTACTGAACCCTGATGCAGAATGCGCTCCTAAGTCGCGTAGCACAAATGAAGATATATTGTGCGTCAGGACAGCCGTCTGATTTTCGTAACTTTCGTACCATGCGCTCAGGAACGACCAAATGTGAGTCCAACAGACTTTAACGTTAAAGCGTGTATTCAACCAGTCAACATACAACCACGAGGGCATAAAGGTCGCATATAATGAACCAGGGTAGCAATGGTAATGGCAGATTCGTCGTGAGTGGATGATGTACCAAAGAGGGCACGATTACTGGACCTCTGTGTCCGCAATACATAAGTAATCATGTAGAGATAAATGATGCACATGTATACAATGCACTGAAGCACAAATGGGAGAACTTCTGAATTATGTCTCGTCATTGATGATGTAGTCACTCTGAGGTGCCGCTCACATGTCGCCGCTCGACTCCATTAACCAAGATTGTTATTACCATGGCTTCGCTTTCTTCATGAACATTGAGAATATTCTCACCAAAATACTAGTTGGCACATATACAAAGCAGTCTCGAGTGACGTTCACGCGAGTACCGCAATTTGACCGCCGGATTTTGCAGATACACAGCCCACGGTATACGCCAGCGACGCATAGGAAATAGATTCTTCACATCTTCAACAAACCGGATGTATTATCAGGCCAGGGGGAGGTACATCTGGACAATCCTTTCCACGCTAAAGAGTGGCGTACGTCGTATTTAAGGCATGTCAACCACTCGTTTAGCTCGCAAAAACACCGCCTCTGTATGAGCACATCCGTTCCGGCCTCCATGAATATCTGCGGAAAGAAGATTCGAGCTCGTCAAACGTCATTTAGTCTGCGGCTTCGTGAGGTGCATAACAGCGTTCGACCACCCTTGGAAAGGAATAGGCTCATGTTCGAGCGCGAGCACGGTGATGACTGCGACGAGAACAACGATGAAGTGGCCCACCCTAAGGCCACGACCAGCGCGAACGCCACCGAGGAGCCCAAGACCAAGACGACGCGGACTGAACCCGCTGAGGTGCCACACGTCACCTGCCCAGGCTGTGCAGGCAGCTTCCGTGAAGACACATTGGGACGCCATTGGAGGGACCACTGCGGAATGAACCCGGCGAGAGGGATTCGTCAGCCATTGGTCTGCGACGTCTGCTGGAGGATGTGGCAGCCTGGAGACGACCCACTGAGGGATTTCTCGACTGACCACTCATTGAGGCGCCATGCGGCACAGATGAGTCGCGCGCCGTCACTGGTCATAACTGATGGACGTCATCTGCTGCGGTCTTGACTATCCATCACATAAGGCACACAGTGAAGCCCACTCGGATCCATCTCGAGTTCGTACTGTCCTGCATCCTTCCTCAACGCGTTTTGATTGAGGTACCTAGAATCGAATAGTAACGTAAGTGCCGCACAAGCTTTGTTTTCATATCAGGACGCTTAGCGACATGCCAGTAGCGTTTACCTTCATTCTCTTGTCTTCATAGGAAACACCGTGTCCAAACGAGGAAGGCCGAGGACTCACAAAAACGAAGGCACACATCCTCCGCGCATCAGGTCTGATGACTTCCTGAGCGAGGGGTTGTTATATGAATGTGGATTTGCTGTACACAACAGTCTAGACTTTGACCCCATAACGGGAGAGCCTAGGCTGGAGTTCGACCCTACTCTAGAGGTCGAACCATCAATGCAGAGCAGTCTTGTGTTACCATTGAATCAGGTCAAAGAGGATCACCTACCAAAACCTGATCCTTCGCCAGAAGGCCGCCAGCATTCAATCAATACAATTCCATCACGCGAGATACCAGCAATATATCCTTCGCACATGCACCTGACGCGCGAAATGTGGGGCAGGATGCACACAACCAAGAACACACCACACATACCGAGGGCGGTCCCCGCGACCACCGCGACCAGAACGGCAATGCGCTTATCGTGTCACCGATGTGTCGCGGACAGCGTTCCTTCAATCGCGCTCCCACTACAACCACATGTGGAAACCTGTCTGGGAACAGATGAGACCACAAGGGTAAAATGTTCCACCCGTAGTCCATCTCGAGCCATCGCCTTCTCCTGACCGAGCTGGAGGCCTCAGAAGGATTCAGCCGTCATGTGCCGCAAAGGGAGTGTGATCAGCCTCAAGTACCCACGCTGCAGTCCTGAGTCGAGTGATGGTGGCTCACCGGACTGCTGCTCTGCGTGTCAGCAATCAGCTTGACCATCTCCAACGATGTCTTTGTCCCCGCCCACAGAAACTCCATCAGCTCCTGGTAGTCTCCGTCCCGGTTCGCCCTGATCTACAGATGCGTACATCAGTCACAAGCTGTTTCCAGACGACGATAAAGGACATGCCTGGTTGAGGCGTAAATAATACACGTTCTTGATTTCTGCCTGGATGCAAAGCGGCGGCAGTCCCATTCGCAACAGCGGTATTGACGAGAGGATTCTCGAAAGTCGTCCGTTACCATCCTGTGTGGACAAGCACAGGTATCAAAAGACGATCATAAGTGGAATGGGAAACACACCTCAAACGGGTGGATGCTGACGAATGTATGCTGGACCCATGCTGCTGTTGCGAACGGGTCCACGTCATCTCGTCCGATGAGGTCCTGCGAACGCCATAGCCAGTGGCAATAGTCATGATCAGCAGCGCACTTGACATTCACTTATAAGGGTCACGCTACTAACATTGAATTTCTCGCAGAACGCTTCCAGTTCTGCCTCGACTTGGTCGAATGGGCAGAACTGGACCTTCACGGACGCGCTCTGTACCATCACATTGACGCATGAGCGCTGTCGAGTCGCTCCGATGGTGACGTAGGAAAGCTGAGACCCATGCAGCGTCTTGACGTAGAGGACTCGGCTGGTCTGCATCAATGTCTTGTGCAGATCGCAGATCGCTTTGGCAGTCAGCATCACAGTGTCGGCTTTGACAAGAGTATGGACTGCATCCAAGACCTGCATATATACGGGATCAGCGGACGCAACATTGATAGGAAACACTCGTGGCGGTGCACCTGTCGAGTATCGCGCAGGATCGACAACGCGACCGCGCAATTCCGCACAGCTCCGCCTACAATGCCCGTGTACTTTACAGGGCCGGTTGCATTATCGAATCCGTGCAGTACCAAGCTTCTCTGTATCTCTTATAATAGTCAGGTGAATGGCGATAGAGAGCAGTATCAACGATGGGAAGCTGACCGACGGATCAAACTGGAATGTCCCCTCGAGAACGTTTGTCTCGATGCGGTTCGTGTTGATAAACATACCTGTAGCGCCGTCGATGTTGCTTATGGCCTGCCACAGGTCGCGGATATTCTCGATCTGACGTCGCTGCAGCTTGCAATACGGGAACGCACCATCCGCCGTCGTTATGGATCGCCAGCGTTGGCTAGCGCTGAATCCTTGCCCGATCTTGTATAAGCGCACTAGCAACAGCGACTACTGTCAGTACCGGGCACATGGCAAAGACGAGTGGTCGGCAGCGTACGCTGTCTCTGCGCATCCAATAGTATATAATATCGCGTTTGCCGAACCCATGTCTCGAACTCTGTATTTTGTAGAGCTTCTTGCAGCTAAGCGCACCCATGTGAAGATATTCACAGACGTTGGAAAGAACAACCTCGCCGTACAAACTCAACGCCATTATTTTGCTGCCTAGTGACATCCGCATGTCCGCGACCCGCAGTAAGAGGAAGGGAACCCGGTGGCTCTCAAGGATACGTTCCCACAGTCTTGCAGATGCAGCACATGCCGCCTCGTTTGACGACTTGACCTTGAGAGAGCCTCTATTTGCGAAGCCAGGTCAGGACCTAGGGTGTCCACCTGCAGCTCCTGCGAAGATATGCACGGCCCGCTGATTCATATGACATCTGCTGATCCACATCCTAGAGCGCGCACTCGCGACCCTTGCAAACACGACAGCGACGCTATAGTTCACAGTGACAGCCACGAATCTTCGTCGCTCACTGCGCTCAGGACAAAAATGGTGCCTATTGATCCGCGAAGTCTAGGAACGAGAACTATGGACCGCCGCTCGGAGCACATCGCAACTTTCTGTGGCAGCGAAGCAAAGATAACAGGGGCATTCAGGCCATGCAGACAGTTTTGCTCGACATTGAACATCTCTTGAACGGTGCACGCGAGGTCGCGCATTGTTGCCCTATAAAAGGATATGATTAATACCATATGAACGAGAACAATGGCATGGACAGGAACATCACCTGCCACTCATCAACGTCCTAGCTGTGTGATTGGACAGCACTTGTCTACAGGTCAGTCTATGAGGACAACGCCTTCCAGTTTAAGCCAGATAACCAAACGCACAATCGTCATGGCGCGCGGAGGAAGCAAGACGGTCTTCCGATGTCTGTCTGCGGATGCTTCGAGAGGCGCATGATAGGCGCCCGAACAGTCTGATATATAGAGGGCGCGGCCTATGGTTCGCCTCCCCTTGGGTTTGACCCCTCTCTAGCGAAGCATCACTTCTCACCTAATAGCTCCTCCTTATCAGCGTCGAGAGGCTGAACAACTATAGTGGGCGCCACTCCACTCACCGTGTATTCTGATCTTCAGCTTGTCCTGCAAAGTCCAAGCAGCCACACTTGAACTCCAAAAGTTATACATATCACCACAATGACCAGCTGGCAGCAGAACGACGCTCAATACCGGTCGATGGACAACAACACACAGCCCTACCAGCATTTAGTACCTCTCGGGGAGGTGACTGTAGAAAGAGAGCAAGACATCGCATGGATAGCCGAGGTCTGCGATGACCTCGCGGGGAGCATGTCGAGCGAGATAATGGCACGTATCTCTCGGATGATCTGCTTTCAGGTTGCTTATATTCTTCGCGCACAGCCTTATCGCTTCACCGAGGATGTTCATCATCCGATGGCCCGTGAACAATTGATTGCGTTCGAGGACGGGTTAGAGTATGATGCCTCCATCCTTACACTATGCGCGGATACAAGCAACGTATCCACCGCACCCGCACCTGGTCTGCACATGGCAGATCAGAACACAGATAACAATGAGTACGACGCTCGCGCCGACGGCGAAGAGGATCTCCTCAACGAGCACGACTACGAGGTGCCGCTCATGGCGTCTTCCTCGTCGGTCCTCCCATCGGCAGCATGGCGAGGGGAAGAATTGGATGGGGCGACGGTATTACCCACCATTAATGGCAGCGCTGGCGAGGACTACGTCGACGTCGGAACCAGGGTGTGGCCATCTGCAAGGCCGTCTCAAATTAGTGACGCGTCAGCGGCACGTGGCGCGCGCGCCACCACGTCCATTGAGCATAGTCGCTCACCTCTCCCGCTTCCCGGACCCTCTTCGACTCCTACTACCACATCAACGACGATCCTCATGGAAGAGGAACAAGAGTCTAATTCTTGCCCCGGGAAGGGAATCAAGCGCGGGCGTGATGATGATAGTGACGAGGAAAACAATGACATGGCTCATGTTGAGGTTACAACGAGCGTGGAGCCTACCCAGGAGCGCAAGGTCAAGAAGATACGTATTGAGCCCACGGAAGTGCCACACGTTACCTGTCCAGGCTGTGGAGGCAGCTTCCGCGAAGATACGTTCGGACGCCATTGGAGGGATCATTGCGGGATGAGCCCAGAAAGAGAAAACCGGCAGCCGTTGATCTGCGACGTCTGCCGGAGGATGTGGCAGCCTGGAAACAACCGACTCAGGGACTTTTCGACTGATCATTCATTGAGGCGTCATGTGGTCCGTCGGCATACAGAGGAGGACTGGCACGCAATGCAGCGTGAGAGGGGCAAGAAGACTCGCCGATCGCATAAGAGAAGCAAAGGTGCCAGCCGGTAGTCGCCTTGTCGTGTCCTGCGTCATGGTCATCGTGTCCTTGTTGTATCTGGACAGTGAACATGGTCACGTCGATGTCTCTATACTTGTGGCTTTCCTGGTTACCTGTCTTCAATCACTCGGGACTGAAGCCTGGTGCGAAGATGAGGTAGCCCCACTCGTCCAGCCCACACCCGGCGATTCCGACGTGCGACGCTTGCAAGGGGTATAGAGGTGGTTAGACTCTATGGATAACCGTTGATACATCACAGGCAAGGCGAAGGACGAAACGAACAGGATCCCAGTTGATCGATCGCAGTTCTACGTGACAATTCTCCTAGCGCCCACCAGATAACAGCGCCCTTACAGCATATGTACGTGTATGTACGGAGTCCATAGACATTTCCGGGAGCAGCATAGTGTTCATAAATCCTTATCCAAAATATACAAATTACATGTCCCATTGGTAGTGTGATCAGCCTCGAGTACGTGGAACTATGCGCCTGCGTGGCAGTCCTGAGTCGAGTGATGGTACCCTACCGTACTGCTGCTCTCCGTGTCAGCAATCAGCTTGACCATTTCCAACGACGTCTTTGTTCCCGTGTACAGAAACTCCATCAGCTCGCGGTAGTCTCCGTCTCGATTCGCCCTGAGCTGTAAGTATGTGAGCGTATCTGTCAGCCACAGACTGTTTCAAGACAATAATAAGGGACATACCTGGTTGAGGCGTACATAATATACGTGCTTGAGTTCGGCCTGAATGCAGATTGGCGGCAGGCCCCTTCGCAGCAGCGGTATTGATGCGAGGATTCTCGAAAGTCGCCCGTTACCGTCCTGTGTGACGAAGTGTCAACATAGGATCATTGGTGAAGGGGGAGACACACCTCAAAGGGGTGTATGGTCACGAATATGTGGCTGATCCAAGCAGCCGCTGCAAACGGGTCCACATCATCTCGTCCAAGAAGGTGCTGTGGGAACAATATGCATGGTCATAGTCAGCGGCGCACTTGAAATTCGCTGACATTGCATTGCTACCAACGTTAAATCTCTCGCAAAATGCTCCCAGTTCTGCCTCGACTTGGTCAAACGGGCAGAATTGGATCTTCATGAACGGGTTCTGTACCATGACATTGACACTCGAGTGCTGCCGAGTTTCCCCGATGGTGGTATAGGATAATTGAAAGCCGTGGGGCGTCTTGACGTACAGGACTCGGCTGCTCTGCATCAGGATTTTGTGCAGGTCGCATATCGTTTTTACAGTGAGCGTTACGGTGTCGGCTTTGGCGAGGGCATTAACATCGCCCGAGACCTGGACGCATGAAGAGTCAGCAAGTGAACTGTAGATGGCGGCAAAGGCAGGAAACACTTATGACCTGACGGGTATCGCGCAGGATCGACAGTGCGTCGACGCAGTTTCGCACCGCTCCGCCTACAATGTCCGTATACTTCAAAGAAACAGCTGGGTCCTCGAAACCGTGTAGGACCAAGCTCTTGTGTATCTATAACAACAGTCAGAGGATCTGGGATGAAGCAGCATCAACGACAGGAAGCAGACCGACGGATCAAACCGTAATATCCCTTCGATAACGTTGGTCTCGATGCAGTGCATGTTCATCAGCTTGTCAATGGCGCCATCCTGGTTGCCTATGGTCTGCCACAGGTTGCGGACATTCTCGACCTGGATTCGCTGCAGCTTGCAATACGGGAACGCACCGTCCGTCGCTATCGTGGATCGCCAGCGCTGGCTCGCGCTGAATCCTTGCCCAATCTTGTACGCGCGAACTGACAAGGGTGACTGTTTTCAGCTGATTATGATGACAAGAACGAGCGGCCAGCAGCGTACGCTGTCTCTGCGTATCCAACATTACAGAATACCGTGTTTGTCGAATCCAAGTCTCGAGCTGTGGATCTTGTAGAGCTTCTTGCAGCTGGGACACTCGTCAATATAAGCATTCGCTCCAGGATATGTGAGGACCAACAACCTCGTCGTATAAGCTCAGTGCTGTCATTTTACGGCCTAGTGTCATCCGCATGTCTGCGATCCTCAGCAGGAGGTAGGGAATCCGGTGGATCTCAAGGACATGTTCCCATAGCCTTGCAGATGCAGCGCATGCCACAGCGCTTGATGACTTGACCTTGAGGGAGGCCTCGATCTGCGAAGCCAGGTCAGGTCCTAGAATGCCTACTGGCAGCTCCTGCCAAGATACAGATCAGAAGCTGAGCTACGTCGTAAAATGGACATCATTTGCACAGTGACGATTGGGTGCTTGAGCGGAGGGCGGTCTGTGTTCAGATAGCAAGCGAGATGGAAGTCCGCCATCACGTCTGTTGGGAAATCTAGAGTAGATGTGTTGGTAGTCTGGCGTTGCGACTTGGCGATGTTTAGTTCGTGAAGGGTCCTCTCAACCCTCCTTCATTTCCCGAGTAAACCAGGTAGCTTTAGATGTGAGCTGCACAGGCTACACCGTCCTCCAGCAGGATCGGTACAGCAACTGTAATGAGGTGAAGTGGCGAGTGCCAATTGACCCGCGATCAAAGATTGCCTTTCCGAGAAGCGGACGGCGGTTTCCGATTTGCAGGCGCTAATACGCTGGCCATGGCATGCCGCGTCGCGCGGGAAATACGCCATTCCTTCCGTTGTTATTCGATACATATCAAAGAACGATGCATGAACTCTATGGTGCACAGCGCTTAGTCACCACCTAAAATGTGCAGTGGCCAAATCGGTCAGGCAGTTGTTCACCAATAAGCGCCCATGGCCATGGGGTAATATATTGTATAGAGTATAGCATACTACTTACTTATCGGGATACAGCAGTGCCACAGCTGTGTTTGACCATGAATCATTTTGTTAGAAGAACCTTCAGCTCGATGAGACTCAAGTCATGAGACATGTTGTGCATTTTATTGCCAAAATTCCATTTCAATTTTATGGAGTTGTTCTGGCATGAATTGAAGCTATACTTGCATGAGAACTATCATTATATATTGCAAGCCCTCGAGGCTAACTTATTGGAGGGTTGTGCTTCTGTCGACATCGAGGCCATCCATCATTGGGAACACCATTCAGTGTGGGGGATGAATATATGCCTGTTGATCGGGGCTTGAAACACACAGTAACTGGTGAATCAGTTCAGCTCCAAACAATACACATCCCACAGATGTATTCCCAAAACCCTGGCTCGTCTCTTAGATACCGCTTTAGGAAGTATATTATGTAATACTTACCAAGTATAGACAGATGCATGTGACGTGCACGTGATGTGGCCAATTTCAAGCGACCATCTTGGGCAATTTCGACTTTCATGAAAATCTGTTTAGTAGGATTGGTCCTAGCATGATTTAGGGCATTTCTACTAAAGGGATAAGTATCCGGGGGAAATTTGAATGCCACAGAAAGTTTGCACAAAACAGGTGGCCTCTAGGTTGCCCGCACTATAGCTGGTAAGACTACTGTACGAGATATCATATCACTTTCGTCACTATGCCAACCTGTTGACCAAATTTCTCGCCATGCTTCTAGACACTTCAATGCGGTCCTAGCCAGAAGAATCGTGATGTAAACTTGCTGCCTCCTGTGATGGAGACCGTCTGTGTCGACATATTCTAAATGATGCACCGCTTGCTGATTCGAAAGTCTAGCAAAGATAGCACTTACTGGGCGTCCCGTTATCGTTCTTCCAAGCTCAGGCACGACGGCGACTTGAACAGGTCGCCGACCTTGAAATAGGTAGCATGATTACCCTTAGCCCTCGACTGTTATGGTCGTCGGCATTTGGACGACAGGAACCCGAATTTGACTGATAAATACCGCCGGATCATCTACAGCAGTCCGTGGCGGCAGTCGGTCTCCTCGATCAGCCGTGCACATGCTGTGCCTGCGTCGTACCTGGCCATGCTATTGGTCCCTTAACGTGTAATGCAAAGGGGCAATGTCTTTGCGCTCAACACCCATCCGCGGGCTAAAGTAATCCGGAAGATACTATACAGGTCGTGTAATGAGCGAGGATCTATTTCTTATCTTTCATTTTGGGCGCTTTTGCCGCCAAATACATTCCTTCTTCCCCTGCTTCACACTACATTCGGCACATTTCCATTATGCGCGGCCAGTCCAGATCCGCCGTACCTCTTTTCGCCAAGCGCTTTACGCCGAACAGCGGGCGCGCCCGCGCGGTGTACGCCCGCATAGGGATGTAGCCGTCTGTCAAACAGGGCTCGGTCAGCGGATGATCGCGACACGATGGGCAGCCGAGAAAAGCAACGAGAACACGCAACGAGACCGGGGAGTATTCGCGAGAGTGCAACGTTATGACAAGTGACAAGCACGGGCAAGAACCCCGACGGCGAGAACGCAGCCGCCGAATCCCCGACCACAGCTGCTTGCCACGCCCACGACGGCGTAAGGAGCGTATCTTTCCTGTACCCCGCGTATCTTCAGTAGTGTAAACTGTGACCATACCCGGCCTGCATTCTCCCGCGGACGACGCCCATGCACGCGCTCGGTGGTCACGAAGCCTGTCAGGTGGACCATCGCTGTGGGTACGCACAGCGCACATGCCAGGATCCACGGGAACGAGCAGCTGCGGACCCACAAGGCAGGAGCGATAGGCAGCACAGCACCGATGATACCAGTGGTCCAGTACGTCAAGCACGACGGAGGCTTTGCTCATGATGCCGGACGTATGCGGGGAAGCAGCAAGATACAGTCATGTGGGCTCGGTGACAGCCAACTAGCGGTGGTGTGGGGAAACGTGTACGCAGGTGCGATGCGATTTTGGGCTTCGCGGCTGCAACCGAGGCCGTAGGAAGATGCGGGGAGATAAGCAGTCTTGTCATTGGATGGGGGAAACGACGGGGATAACGCGCGAACTGTGATCTGTCGGGCGTCTGTAAACGAGCGCGCATGCGATTGATCGCATGGCGGTGTGAGGGTATACGGGACACAAGAAAGTCTAGAGTAGCAAGTACACTGAAGTACACGTCTTAAAACATAGAAATGCAAGCGTAGAAATGAGGGTGTTAGGCGTTATAAAGGAGAGGACGTGAAGGCTGAAGGAAAGACATGGCGGAGGCCCATAAACCCAAGAAGCATACAATCAAAAGGGCATCGCGAGATCGTGAATCATGAATACGAATACTCCTCGTCCTCGTAGGAGGCAAAGGAAAAGACGCTATTTCGCACGGAGTCCAAATCAAAGAAAGACACATACTCCTTATCCTCGTACAGCGTCGGCAGCGTCGACGTCCGCGCGCGCGGTGTGCTTGTACCCGAGTGGATGTTTGACGACGCGAGCTGCTCTGCAAGATCATCTTCATCCGGAGGAAACGCGATCGGCCACGGGGGCGCGTTGGCTGGTGGCGACGTTGGTGAGATCGGCGATTCGGGAGACGACAGGCCGCTGCTGCTGGATGACAAAGGGGACATATACATGGACGGTGGAGAAGGAAACCCATATGACGAGCTACACGCAGATGCGGACGCGAGCGAGTATACTGATGACCGAGGGCTCGCGAACTCGGGGGCAAATGACGTCGCAGCCGTGGGCGCGTAGCTGCTACCGCCGATGCTCGCCGCGTCGAACATCGATGACAACGTCGTGGTGCTGCCCATGCTCATGCTCATGATGGACGTCGCAGGGGTGCGCGAGGAGGTGGGGGAAGTGGGGAGTGGAGGAAGGGAGAACGTAGGAGTCGGCGGAATTGGGATGGACGGCGGGGGCCGGCGGGTAGAGAGCGACCCGCTGAGCGAAGACCCCGCGCGCCGCGTGCGCGGGGCTTGCCCTTGCAGCCCCCGCCGCGCCGCGAGTCATTCTTGCCCGCCCTGAGGCGGGTCCCCGCTCGCGCCCGCCTGTGAACTTTGCGGCGCTTGCATGCTTTCGCGCGAGGTGTTCGCCTCCGAGATCGTCATGTCCTGCAGCTGCGTGTCCAGCGCGATACCCTCGTGCTCCCTTGGTGCCCGCGACTTCGACCGCACGCGCTGCCACATCTGGCCAAGGCCAGTGCGTCCGCGTGAGTTCGAGCGCTTCTTCGACTCGCTGCGCGACCGCGTGCGGAAGATGTTGCCGGCACCGCCACGCCCAGTGTGCTCTGCGGCGCCGTGCTCGTGCTCGTGGGGTGCAGAGTCAGGTCCAGGAGACAGCGGAGTGATGTTCGCAACACCGCCTCGTCCGGTCGAGTGCCTGGAACCACGTCAGCGAGCGCCGCAAAAATGCCTCCAGCGGACTTACATTCCATCAGGGTGCTCAG